ATTGTATTTTTAAAAAACGTTTTCAGATTTCACATCAAATAAACACCAAATCCCAGCATGCATTGCGGATAACCATCCAATCATCGAGCTGAGGATCTTGCCTACGTCTGTTTCCGGTTTCGTTTAATGACCGATGTATTTTGTTATACACACATTCCTTCACATTTACATTTTAATGTGCATTAAAGTATTTCGTGAGGCCTTCTAACATGTTTTTAAATATAACTACGGTTGTAGTTGAAGAGTTTGTAAATTAACATGAACCGAAGCTGTTGCTTGGCAACTCAATCGCACAACGTCACGTCCGTTAATTCCACATCCACACGCATGGATTAACATCGATTTAATACATTAATGTAGCCTTTGTTTCTGCTCAAAGAGGTGTCGACCAGCTGGGGCAACAAGAACATCGGCGTAATCGAGTGTGACTATTAAAAAATAAATCATTACGTCGGGGTAGCATTTGCTTGGTATTTCCGGTTATTTCTCCACTGGTTAACATGGGTTAACAATACCGTGTAGCTGTCACGTTTGAAGGGGACGAAACCGTGACATCTTCACGTCTCCCAGCATGGTAAATCGTCACATGTTCACGTCTTGCCGTGATACCGGGTTGCCTAAAACAACATGCATGTTATGGATGTTCAGATACTCCTTTCATTGCTCTTGACCAAGGCACCTCAGAATTAGAGTCGGTCCCCGGGCTGCCATGGCACCACTAACATTTAGGGTCAAATGCAATTAGTGCAACATCTTTTTTTCACTTTAATTTAAAGGGGGGGAGGGGATACAAAAATGTGGTTATAATGAAGTATATGGTACAAATCTTGTAGGTTAACAGTCCCTCATTTATTATTCAGATGGATCAACTGATTATACTAATAATAAAGTCAAAATTGTTTTTAGAATATTGAATTATAGTGTATTTTTTCAAAAAAGCAGTTACTGGTATACGATCAAAACTGGTATCAAAAGGGTTACATTTGTATCGTAATTAATTAAATCATTATGTAAATTCTTCATGAAAAATTTGAGGAAACAAATTTGAAAAATATTGATCCCTCATCATTTTATTGCAGTTCAAATACAAATCTTTTATGTAAACATTCCCAATGTTACTTTTTTTAACAGGGCATTAAGTGCAAATTGAAATTGTTTACAAAATATGAAAATATATTAAAAGATTATACAGATAATACAACATAGGACCAATGTTGTCAATGGCTGCCTACTCCACTCTCCCCCATCTCATAGACGTTTCCAAAGATTTTCATAATCATGCTTTTTGGTCTCAATTTTTCTGGCTCTTGCTTTCGGATTGTTTGCTAAGCAATGGCTTTGAAGCCAAGACTTGACATATACCTCTGGTCTGAACTTGTTCAGTGGAGGGCCAACACACTTGATGAAAAGCAAGGCTGACATGCTTTTTACCTCTAGGGAGCTTCTAGTTGGTTAAAATGTTCATCTGAATAAACCCACGTTCACACTCAGCTGTGGAGATGACCAGAGTGTTCACTGCTTGAAGGAGAGGTTTCAGCTCTTGTGCTGGTGGTATCATTTCATCAACAGTTTTGAGTCTTACCAGCTAGCTAACACGAGAGAAAAACGTAGCTAAACTCCAAACTAAGTTGTTATTGCTGCTTATGTCCAGATTCCACCTTTGGTGACTAAAGTAGTGAGTAATGACTAAGATTACTGACTCTTGACTTACCTGAAATGTTATTTTTAGTATTTTTAAATATGAAGTCCCTCAGATCGCGTTGTCCTCCTGGTCGCTTGGCCATTGTGATGACCGTTACCTGCGCTTCTGGCATCGATCAAACAGGCGCATCACGGCGCTCTGGCGCCCTCTAGGGCACTCGCATAGTATAGCGTCAGTGACTTGGTAAAAATGTCATTGCGTGTGTGCGTGCTCCCTCGCCCACAGTATTTTACTCAAAATGCGCAAAATGAATGTTGAAATAGTAGTAATACCAGTGCCACGTTCATTGATACAATTACATAAGGGATGGAAAGGGGGATGATTTTGACCGTTTTTATTTCAGGGGGGGATGCCATCCCCCCTCATCCCCCCTCAACTCGAGTACTGTGTGTAACGGAGACAAAAGCAATAAATCCTCACATCATAGAATCTGAAACTAACTCGTTGGCTTGTTTTCTTAAACAGATATGCACTTGAATGTGTGAATATCAAGTTGATTAATCAACTACTTCTCTTGGCGTTAGACATTTGTTACATCTAGTTGCCATGCTAGAACATAAGCAGTATCCTGAGTAATAATATATGTCTCCTCTCCTAACCTGCATTCAAAACAGTGCATGTGTAAATATTGTTTTTCCATGCTCCAATCGTTTCTTTAATAATAAAAAATCAGCTGGGTGCTTGTACCCATTTAGATCTGAAAGTCTAATTTGATCAAATCTAACAAATAATTCAGTTATCTGCATTGCTAACAGAAAAGTTCTCCTGGGTGTTCGTTGGATCAAAAGGTTTTCTTTTTGCCAAATGATATAAAAAGCAGGGACCTGATCTGAAGGTTTTGTGAATTGACGCGTTAGAGACAAAAGCATCTGCTCTGTCGTTTCAGAAATCAATTTAGACGCGTCTGGAGTAAAAGCCCCCCCCTCACCCCTGCTTCAGAAAGCTATTATGGCCCCCAGAAATGAAGGGTCCTCCCCCATGGAGATGTCAACATCTCTTCCCTCCCTTTGTTGCAGATTATCGCCCAAATGACTCATTCAATTCAGCTGCAGCCGGGCGCTGCCTGTGGCCAATTTGTTTTCCATCACTTGTGAGGAGCGCCCGGTTAAATGACCACGTCATAGCGAGTCCGCAGGGAGGAGACACAACGAGTCCGCAGGGAGGAGACACAGCGAGTCCGCAGGGAGGAGACACAGCGAGTCCGCAGGGAGGAGACACAGCGAGTCCGCAGGGAGGAGACACAGCGAGTCCGCAGGGAGGAGACACAGCGAGTCCGCAGGGAGGAGACACAACGAGTCCGCAGGGAGGAGACACAGCGAGTCCGCAGGGAGGAGACACAGCGAGTCCGCAGGGAGGAGACACAGCGAGTCCGCAGGGAGGAGTCAACGTGAGGCCGCCAGCAATAATCACTCATGTGAGGAGGTAAATAAAAAGCTGGGTAAACTGTGCCCTCCAGTTGTTGGTCGTCACACCGCCTAATCAAATCTGTTATTCAGAGAACATCTAATTATACTCCACATAGCCCCATCATATGTTCCATAAATCCCTGATGGGATAATATGACAGGAAACAACAAGTCCGTTACACATTTCTTTCTAAGTACCTCTAATATACTTTCCAATTACATCAGTCATTTTTTAAACACAATTCATAACGTTTGCAGCGTTCAGATTCCCAAATATAATGTTCTGCTGATTTCCTTTGTTTTTATGGATGTGTGTTTAATATATTTCTGTTAGTTAGACAAAACCTGGTTTCATTTTGAGAGTGATGTCAATGTTAGTCATACTGCAAACGGATGCTGAATCAAATCTGTTATTTAAAAACAAATCGTAGTCACATAACCCCATCTATCCTATAAACCCCTGATGGTATATTGATGGATAACACATTGCTACAAACAACGTCAAGGACACAAAATTCATTATTACATTCTGCCTTTTTCCTGATTACTAAAGACCTCCAATGCCACTATACTTTCAATATTAAACTAAAGTCCGTTATGATGCAACAAATCCAAATATTTGCAGGCTTCAGATTCTGAATTATTGGTTTAATAATTGGTTAGACGGGTTTAATCTTCGGGCTGTGGAAAATCGGTTGCTTAGCATTAATAGCTTTATCTTTCGGGATAAAAGCAGATTAATGATGAAGAGAAAACTATATTTTCAGTCCTACACTTTTAGTTTTTTTCTCTTTCAGTGGTAAATGTAGCTCTCATGTCTTTTTCTTCACCACACTTCTGATAATTCAGATTTCCCCCTCTTCTCCTTTCCTCGGTAAAATGGAAAAGCTGAAGCCAGTGCTTCTTTTGGAGATTAACCAAAAAAAAAAAAAACCTCAGCCAGGCTCCATTTGAATTTCAGAGCCATTGAATTCCTAATAGACTCCTGAGTAAGCTCTGTGGCAGCTTATGGCATTCCAGTTATGCCAGTCTCTCAAGAAACCCCCCCTCTCTCCCCCAAAACAACTTCCTGCAGCCTCTGCGCTGTCTTGGCACTGAGCCTTCGTAAAAAATATCATCACATTAAAAGCAGAACTCCCTGTTTCCTTCTTCAAGTTGTTTCTCCCTCTCTTATAGAGCTTCCCGGTCGGATGCGTCAGAGTGATCACGATCTCCTCTCTTCCTTCCTCTCCTCTCATCATGTCCTTGCAGCCTTCGGGCTCTTGTTCTCCCCCAAGGGAGGAGAGCGCATGTGGGCGAGAGAAATAGACAGGAAAAAGGGGAAGAGAGGGAGAAAAGGGCTGCCGTCACTGGAGGTGGCTGCTGCTGCTTCCGCAGTCACTGAATAGATGTGAGTTCACTCTGGGTGCTGCTGTGTGTGTGTGTGTGTGTGTGTGTACGTGTGTGTGACTGGGGGGGGTGTTTGTGTGTGTGTACATGTGTGTAACTGGGGGGGGTGTGTACATGTGTGTGTAACTGGGGGGGTGTGTGTGTGTGTACATGTGTGTAACTGGGGGGGGGGTGTGTGTGTACATGTGTGTAACTGGGGGTGTGTGTGTGTACATGTGTGTGTAACTGAGTGTGTGTGTGTGTGTGTGTGTGTGTGTGTGTGTGTGTGTGTGTGTGTGTGTGTGTGTGTACATGTGTGTGTAACTGGGGGGGGGGTGTGTGGGAGGAGTCTCTGCTGTTATTTGTAAAAGCTTTTGATGGATGATTGCTCTGTGTGTGTGTGTGTGTGTGTGTGTGTGTGTGTGTGAGAGAGATAGAGGGAGTGAGTGAGGGAGACCCCCCCTTTCTTTGCTTTTTTTTTCTTTCTAGTGGCTCACTGTTCACTGCACAATGACTCAATGAAAAGTGGAGGGGAGAGGCAAACACTGTACGGCTGCACGAGAGAGGAGAGGGAGAGCAGAGAACACACAGGAGAGTAGAAGAAGAGAAGCCAATTGGAAGGAGCTCTAAAGCCGGGGAGAAGAAGAAGAAGAAGAAGAAGTGGATATACTTGTCTCTTTCTGTCCTTGCTCTCTCTCTGAAAAGCCACTTTGGCATCAAGTGGCAGCCGAGCTCAACTTCACCTGGTCTCAGCCTCTTTAAGCCTTTTTACTCATTGTACTCTGAGCAATTTTGTCCACTTTTGGAGGTGTGTGTGCTGCAGCTGCTGGTGCTCAATCACCCCCTGGAGGAAGCATAGTACAGCAGAGGTTTCTGCAGGCAGGTTTCTGATCTGCAGTGTGCCGCAGGATGCCAGGAAGCAGGGATGCAGCCGGGTCAGGAGGCTGCGGGGCGATGATGGTGTGGGGCGTCCTGGTGCTGGTGGCAGGATGGGGGTCCGTGGAGGCCTGCCCGACCCCCTGCAGCTGCCTGGGGAACACGGTGGACTGCCACGGCCTGGGGATCTACTCCATACCCAGAAACATCCCCAGAGGCACCGAGAGGCTGTGAGTACTCATACATGCACTCACAACGTGTGTGTGTTCAGACGATTTTACTGTAGCGTTTGTGCAGGACGTATGATGATAACAATACGCTTATTTAGCATAGCACCTTTCACAGAAATACAATTCACAAGAAAGAACAAAAGTTAAAATGAAGACCACAGGAACATGAATACAATAACAACATGAGGAAATCTAAGGTCAGCATAAAAACAAAACACAGACCACGTGGAGTCCTGAAAGGAACACACACGAGAACAGAACACACACATCTCAAATAGAAATACAAGCCAATGTAAACAGATGGGTCTTCAGCTGTTTTTAAAAGCTTCTACAGAGACTGCAGAGCGGCTGTCTTTGATTATGATGATAATGATTAAACAAATGCATGATGGAGAAGTGAAGAAGAAACAATTTGTTAATATTACTTAAATGTTTATGGAATAAAAGTAAAGTATAGCAAATAAAAAATCATTTAGGTGCAGAGGTAGTTTAAGTAAAACTACGATACAATACTGAGTGAAATGTATTTAAAAAGACTCATGCAGATGACTACCTAAAACACCTTAACTTTCATTTTAAGTATTACAAATATACTTGTATACTAATATTTAAAATCCACTTTTGTACCTTAGCTTAGTAAATCTCAGTTTTAGTGTACTTCTAAGAATAGCAGTTCATATTAGAATCAGGAAACGTTATCAATCCCAGGAGGAATAAGGTTTGGAGTCAGATGCACTCGAATAGAATAAATAAATATTTATAGAAGCATCAGAAATTGAAAGAAAAAGGGCAATACGAGTCCTTTGAGCCGCTGGGACACAGCATCTAGCAGGAAGGGAATCCCTCAGAGTGGGCATATTGCTCATCACTACATTTTAAACCTCAGATTAGGATCATGCTAAGCTTCGGTTTATAGATTAGGTTGTGAAGGTCCTCACACGTATCATCAATCATGCATTTATCTGATGGATATGTGTTGTATGTAGGTGAACATGAGTCAGTAATGGTACATTTTATTATCAGTGCGGCTGATTTTGTGTATTGTGTGTGTGTGTGTGTGTGTGTGTGTGTGTGTGTGTGTGTGTGTGTGTGTGTGTGTGTGTGTGTGTGTGTGTGTGTGGTGTGTGTGTGTGTGTGTGTGTGTGTGTGTGTGTGTGGTGTGTGTGTGTGTGTGTGTGTGTGTGTGTGTGTGTGTGTGTGTGTGTGTGTGTGTGTGTGTGTTGTGTGTGTGTGCAAATACACACAAATACAAATTCCTGGTTTGACTCAGTGCCATGCTCCTTCCAGCTCCTTTTACCAGCAGTCTGGTTATCTTCACACACACACACACACACACACACACACACACACACACACACACACACACACACACACACACACACACACACACACACACACACACACACACACACACACACACACACACACACACACACACATCCTATCCTATTCAAATCTCTGAATCTACTTTCAGCTTATACAGAATAACTGTAAACGTTTTTGTGGATGTTTTCCCCTGAAGTTCCTTCCTGTTAGAAAAGGCAGTTTTATGAGGAACAGTTAAGCCTAAGATACCTTACAATACAACTACATATTTCCAGCTGTTCATATGGTTGAGACTCTCTGTCGAATGGAGGAACCTAGCATCACAATCAGTTGGTTGATTTGTCTTGCATTTTAACGTCTGATGGCATCCTTTCTCTCTTCTCTCCATTCTATACTTTCCCATTACGGCAACCCTATACAGTCCAGACAGCCATTTGGGATGTTACAATCAGATTGGTGTGCATCTTAGGTTAATCATTGCCTTCTAAATACCAAAAAACAATGATAAAAGTCAACATTTTGAACTAGATAACCAGTCTGAGGCACTGTCGATGCATTTTCACGCCAGTTTGGTGAGAATGAGACGTGTTGCTATATTCACTAGATCCCTATTTTGAACGCCTGTCATTGCTGCCCTACTGATTTAATTTGGATGAAACGTCCAGGAATCATCACTGAAACTAGCACTTGGATCATATTTGCAGATACACCAGCTGCTCTGTCTCAGTAGGAGGTTTCCAAAGCTGCCAGAGAAGCAGCGTGAAACCAATGCATTTTTCCGGTTTATATACGTTGAAAGTTACATATATTTTCTCGATGTTACAATGCTTCACATTATTCTGGAATGCTGCTAATACTGTTGGTTCTTTGATTGGTGTGTCTGCCTGTTTTGAAGAGCCATTCACTTTATGTAAGAGCTAAGTGTTGGTGCAGATCGGGGGCTACTAGACATCAGCCCTCGCTTTTGACGCTTTTTGGACGACCTCTGCTCTGAAACTCTGCTGTAGCCGACTGACATATTTAGGTGTGGCATTAGAGTCTGTTATCTACCTTTTTCACAAATATGTCCAAGCAAACGCAAGGCAAGGCAAGTTCACTAATAAAGCTTGTTTCAACAATAAGGCAGTTCAAAGAGCTTTACGATATATTCTGCAACAGAAACCGATCATAAAAGCCAATAGAATGGAAATCAAATTAGCTTAAAAAGGACAAGACAGTTTTAAAGAACAATAATACATGTTATAGGGCAGTGTAAGATATGAATAGTTATTTGATTTAATAAAAGGCAGTGGAAGAAAGAGGAAAATCTTCCCAAAAAAACATCTTTAGCGGAGTGCAGTTGCTTTGATTGGAGTTGCAGATTTTTGCTGTTTTGATCCAGATATTGAGAATGAAAAAACTGCTTCTCCATGTTTGGCACAGAAAGCAGACCAAATGCATCCAAAAATAATTCCAGAACTGCAAGGCACGCCACCAATATCTTAACATTCTGTATTGGAGATTTCACTTCAACAACTGTGCTCTTAAAAAAAAACCTAAGCACTATTGCAGAGTTGACTTATATATAAAAAAGTAAACACTTAATCTGTTTATGTCCCTCTATAAATGTGTGTACTGCATGGGGGTTGTCGGTGCATGTATGTGATTGTACGTTGTGAGTGTGTGTGTGTTTACTTCAGGTTCTCGAGTGCCTGTGTGTGAATAATTGATGATTGTCAGGGGGTGCCGGCAGAGATACATTATCCTTCCTCCTCTCTGGGTTACTGTAGCGTGGAGGATGTTTTCCCCTCTGAGGCTGATAGCTTTATGATCAGGGAAGAGGGCTCAGGCTCCCTGGTCAAAGAGAAATGGCCTGGAAAAAACTCTGAGCCTGCAAACCCACCCGCTCGTTTGTCTTTTTTTATATCGCTGAGATGGTACCAGTTCCTACGCTAAAGGTTTTCTTTCTGTACAGCCAAAAGAAAACTAACTAATTGAAAAACTGAAGAAAATACTGTTGCATTTCTAGTTTCACCTGCTGACATAAGTGTAATTGTCATAAATGTAGCTACAATTTCATTTAGCGGAGCAGAAAGGTGACATTTCCACTAATAACATCAAAGTTAAATCATAACATTTGATATTTTATGTCAGGATCCATACCAGCACAGTACTGGCTGGATCCAACAAGTGTGAAATCAGACTCCAATCGGGCAGAAATTAGCATCTGGCACTTTATTTAAAAAAAAAAAACAACATTGTTTGCGAGTTCAGGACGAACTTTGAGTCCCAAATGGAAAGACTTGCACACCAGAATTGTTGCTTTCTCCTTCCTAGTTGACAACTGTTAGCATTTGGCACCATTTTTCACGGAAGTCCCATCCTACTTCTTCACCTGTGAACATCACAAGCAATGATTGGCCTGTGCTGCAGTGTGACGTTCTGTATGTCAATAACCAGTGTTTCCGCCAGACCAGGGCTGAGAGGGCGTCCACCCCGAGAGCGGGGGGGAGGAGTCACGTGACTTGAATTTTGAATTGAGCCGTCCCTTATAGATAGGCTACTATCTCCTTACGTTTGCACACACACACCATTTTGAATTGCGCCGTCCCTTATACTATCTCTTTACGTCTTCCTGCCGACAGGGACACCCCTCCTGGCATGGTCCGTGGAAGATGCGGCGGTGTTTTGTTTTTTTCCGTCACAGGAACGCGCTTTGCTGGCGGCGAAAATAATCCCACCAGACTCCTTTGCCCCTCCAACAGACGGATGTCCTTGTCCTTTTTCCTTTTCGTAATTTCAAGCGATTAAAACTTGATCTTCTCTCAAATTATTATTTTTTTTGGATGCCCTCGGCTTGAGTTCAGGGCGTTCCGAGCTGAATAAGAGCATCAAATGACGGCAAGACGCCCCCCCTGGCGGAAACGCTGTCAATAACTATGGCAGGAATAAACTGGAGTAGTGACTACATTGAAGTACACCGAAAATATATTTTCAAGCATCTTCGGTGTTATCTAGACATTCAGATATATTTAGACAACTCAGCCTCCCTCCTTATACAAGGGACCTGAATTAGTTTGCTCTAAATATTGCAAACACACTTCCCACGGATCAGAAGCTGGTCCTCCGGAAACCATGTCCTCTTTAATAATCTACATAACACATGTTCTACATTTGTCAAACGGACTATGACAGAAAGTACTTCCAAAGTAAACTCGTAGTGAGATCTGTGAACTGTCTAAATGAAACGGACCCATTGTTTCTGGAAGGTTTGTCAGTGCTTTGACAGTGCAGAGATGGCTGCCTCATAAATCCAATGGAATCTTCCATTGAATATTGCAGAAAATAAGCTCTTTGGCAAACACACTTTCATAATACTTACGGCCCGTCCACACGGCAGCGTGCGTTGAAGCATCAACGCTTCTGCCCATTCACTTTGAATGGGGTGACGTCACGCTTTGCCAAACTGCATTGTGGGAGCGTTGCTTCGCGTTGCTCGCTTCAAAAGTTGAGCAATGTTCAACTTTTGAAGCTTCGGCGGAAGCGTCAGCCAATCAAATCATATGCCAGTACAAGCTCTAGCCAATCAAACCGCGTGCTTGTGTGTCCGGGGCGGGTGATTCATGTGATCGGTTGTTAGTCGAGTTTCAGACAAGTTCACCGGCAAGCTTCAACGCACGCCGCTGTGTGGACGC